AAGAAGAAAACAGGAAACAACCTAGAAACCTGCCACAGAGGGCCTCTGAAAGGCTCTGCCCTGCAGACTATCAAAGCAGACGCTGAGACTTATAGCCAACTGTTGGGCAGAGTGCATGGAATCTTATGTAAGAAGTGGGAAATAGTAAGATCTGGAGAGGACAGGAACCCCACAAAGAGAGCAACAGAACCAGAAAATTTGAACACAGGGGTCTTCCCAGAGACTCATACTCCATCCAAGTACCAGGCATAGAGATAAACTAGAACCACTACTCAGATGTAGCCCATGGCAGTTTAGTGTCCAAGTGGGATACTTAGTAATGGAAAGAGGGACTGCCTCTGATATATCTGATTGGCCTGCTCTTTGATCACCTCCCCCTGAGGGGGGAGCAGCCTTACCAGGCCACAGAAGATGACAATGCAGCCACTTCTGATGTGATCTGATATACTAAGATCAGAAGGAAGGAAAGGAGGACCTCCCCTATCAGTGGACTTGGGGAGGGGCATGCGTGAAGAAGGGGGAGGGAGGGTGGGATCGGGACTGGAGGAGGGAGGGGCTTATGGGGGGATAAAAAGTGAATAAAGTGTAATTAATAAAATAAAATTTAATTAAAAAAAATAGTGTCATGCCAATGTGATACCATCGAAATTGAGAATACCAGAAACTGCAATGTTTTCTCAGCTGTACCCAATTTGCCTGTCTGGGTTTATTTTTCATAGGGACTTACTACACTCTAGCATAATCTTAAACAGAAATTTCTGTGTAGTCCAAGTTGACCTCAAAACTCCTGGACAATCCTTCTACCAGCTTCCCATGTGCTGGATTGTGTGAGTGAACTATCATGCCCAGCTTGAGGGTCTTATTCTTCCTTTCACATAGCTACTGAATGGATATTGTTATGGAAGAATACATGATTCCTCCTGGCTCTAACCTAGATTGCATCACTTTGAATTTTCAATTAGTTTACAGTTCTTTGAGCTAAGAAAGTCCTTTACAGATTTTATCCTAATATTTTGCTTTAAATCCTGATTTTTATTTCATCTTCATTACGGCATCAAGGCATTTCATTGTCAGGGAGCATTTTTTTCCCTTTGTTTTGTGACACCATTTCACTGTGTAACCCTAAGCTGGTCTTGTGCAGAGGGTCTTCTGCCTCGGCCCTGAGTGCTGGCATTACAGACGGGCTCAATAATTTGCATTATTTATTTCTGTGCAGTATCAGGATTGCGCCAAGGGTCTCATAATTGCCAGGCAAAGGTTTTGCTACCATATCCCCAGATTCTCAGCATTGATTTTTAATCAACCAGTTTACCAGTTTTAATACTTGTAGCATTTGTAAACTTCTCTGTAGCCTGATAATTAGAAGTCATCTTATTTTGCTTTCTATCACTATTATAATACATATAACCATCCTCTGTATTTGCATATTTTATATCCATTCAATGACTGCATGCTCAAAATATTTTAAAAAATGCATCTGAACTGTGGACTTCCCTTGCCATTATTAACTAAGTGATGTAGCATACCAACTATTTATACAGCTTTTGCATTCTTTTGTGTTATAATTAATCTAGACATGGCTTAAAGGATGTGGGAAGATATGTGTAGACTATCTCTAATTACCAAGCAATTTTGTATGATGTCCTTGTATATACATCTACAGATTTCATACCCATGGGTGTTAGAGGTGCATTTTCAGCTTCTTAATTTCCAGAAAATGGATGATATTTTGACATTAATTGCCCTGAATTTACAAATGACTATAAACTGACATTTATAACAATCTGGGAGCAATGGTAGTCTTTACAACATTAAATATTTTACCTCAGGCAAATAGAATGGGATTATATGTACGGCTTTCTATGTTTTACAAAGAAGGAAATTTTACAGTATTACAAGTAGTAATCTTGGGGCATTTTATAGGTTTTCAAAAACTATTAATGTTTTGTATTATGAACCAATTTAAATATCAGCATTGCATTACTGAACTCCAGTTTTGTTTAGAATTTTTTTGTTGATTTCCATGACTTTTCTGAGTCAGTAGTAGGTAACCCATAATAACAAATTCTGATTTTTCCAAGTCTTTATAACTTTTGTTTTGTCTCTATGCTCATGCACTTTCTCATACCACAAGTGAGCTAACAATGAAAAGTTCTTTCTGTCCAAAAAAGGAATGTTGGTAGTCCTCTGATGGCTAGATGCATCAGAGTTCTCATTTTCTGGTATTTAAGGTTCATTCGTTCTGTACCTTATAAGCACTATAACTGGAGGAGAACATTGAAGTGGTGTATAGGGTTCTGCAAAAAATACCAGGCGACGTTGACTTACTTGAAGCTGTTCTCCATACTTATTTTACACACACGTGGGTCTGCACACGTAGACACACTTATTTACTTGCTGTGGGCTAATGAAATTGTTCCGTATTTAACTATTAGTTAAACCTGGAGCTGCGGTAATGTTAGGCCTCTTGGTGGAATTAGATGTAAATAGTAGTAAATATTAATGGGATAATTTTCAGAACAGAATAGTTTGTATATATTGTTAAAGTTGACTCCCCTACACAAGGTGCTTGCGGTGCACCTGAGCATCAGTGTTTCCCTTAAATGCTGTCTGTCTGTACCTGCCCCGCCCCAGTCTCTGTCTCTACCTCTCTGCCTCTCTCTTTCCCTCCCTGTCCCTCTCTCTGTATGTGTGTCTTACTCTTGAAATATGTCTTTTTTATACTTGAATATGTGAATTATTGTTTAATCAAATATCTTCTTCTCTACAACATTTTTACTTTTATCAGACAAATTTTAAAACTGCTCTGCAGAGGCTGTGGCTGGAGAGGTGGCTCAGCTGCCAAGAACATGCATTGTTCTTCCAGACTCCTTAAGTTTGGTTCCCTGAATCTGTATAGGGCAACTACAACTGCCTGTAACTCCAGCTCCAGGGGATCCAGTTCCTCTGCTTCTTTGGTCATGTGTGCCTTCCCCAAAATAGACATATTTTGTATATCCCTCTTTTACATCAGCCATCACATTCATCTTTAGTTGATTACTCTATCTGTGTCCCTTGTGAACTGCTTGAAAGTGCCTTTTCCAGTGTCCAGCATTGAGTTGGTGTGTTAAAATTTGGTTGAATGAGTAAGTGTTAATACCAAAAGCTGGAACAGAAAGATAAAAAGGGCTTAAAGTAGTGAGTTTTGTGATTTGTTAGGGCATAGAAAGCATATTTTCTGTAGAGATAAATAAAACTCCATTATAGAGACATGCATTTTAATACAGTAATGTTTGCTATGGTGGAGAAACCTGGTAGAGAGGAAGTAAGACTCCAGAACTCATGAGATCAAAACACGGGGTGCAGCTGGAGGACTGGTCCAAACACGTCCTCTCAGACACAGAGCTGCCAAGGACACGGATGTGAGAAGTGAAGCCCATGAGCAGCCTTACTGCGTCTACCCCTGTGTGGACACTAGGTCTGTTCTCTTGTTTACTCTTAAGAAAAGACCATAAATTCCAAATGCATTTAAACTTTTATCTCAAGTAGGAGGGCCAGTTTTGGAGGGAAGAAATACATTGTTTTTCATTGTTTTTCTCTATTCAGTCTTTTTTGTTTCTATTATAGTTTTGATGTATTTTTTAAAAGCTTTTTACTACCAGGTTTTAAAAGTTTGAGGGGAGATTTGTAAAGCATTTCCAAATGTACTTTAGATGCTTAATAAATTTTGAATTGAATTGATAATGACAGCTTTTATTCTAGATAATGATTGCACTTAGTGATAGATACATTTCTTTAGTTCAGATGCTCTTCTGTGTACTGAGTGATTTGATAACTACTTTAGTCCCAGATAGGCACATTTATTATAGTTCTGTCTGAGAGCCACACATAGTCTTTTGAATGACTTAATTTAGAAATAAAGACTGTCAATATCTTATTTGTTTCACAGCCTTTGAGTGATATGTTGATAGATGTTTCCTCGAAAGAGCCAATGAAAATTTAATTTAAATCTGCACATAGGTAAAATGAGAGATGAAAGCAGTTTAGCAAAAACCAGGACAGTGTAGAATGGAAATCAATTTGTGTAATTCTGTGATTAAGATGTAATTATAGTATCATTTCACTACACTCTCAGGTAAGGATAGTCCTTACCATAGGGCAGGTTCAGTTTTGGGTTTGGTAAGATAGCTTTCGTGTAGTTTACTCTAGTTTGGCCAGGAATAGCACTTGTTACTATATTCTGAATAAATAAAGGTTGATGGGTATTACTAGTCACACAAAGCAGTCTGTGGCTACTGTTGTCTCTTCAGTTACTGAAATTCAATTACTGAAATATTCATACATTTTTAATTTAATGAGTTACTTTTATTTGGATCTAATTTTCCTTTTCCTAGTATCTTGATTAATTTTAAATATCAAACTATTGTTAAACTTTTATCAAACGATTGTTAGGAGAAATGCATCAGGGGCTGGGGCGCTGGTTCACTAGGTGAGAGAATTTGCTGAACAAGCATAAGGACCTGAGTTCAAATCCCCAGAAACCGTATAAAAATCCAGGCACTGTAACATGCACCTGTAATCTCAGAAATGCAGACAGGCAGAAGCAGGAGGCTTTGGGGACTTGCAGGCTGCCAACCCAGCTCCAATTTCAGCGATAGACCCTGACTCAAGGGAGTAAGGAGCAGAATATCCTCTGCACTCTCTGTGAGTATCACATATACACACAAACACACCACACACACACACAGCACATACACACACAGCACATATACAAGCAGACATAATCACACACAAACATACACCACACACACAAATAGACACACAAACACACACACTCAACATATACCACACTCATTTTCATACACACACACACATTTATGTAAACATACACATATAAAATTAAAAGAAACAAAGAAGAAATACAACACAGTGTTTCTTTTTTTTTTTCATGAAATTATGTAGTTTGGATACTGAATGGCATCTTTTCTGTATTTTCATTTGTTCCTGGCCTTTTACTAAAGGTTTTCAACACATACTCCAATGAAGACTATGACGGGAGAAATGATCAAGTTGGCCGTGTGGCTGCATCTGCTGAGTATGAACTTGAAAAGCGAGTAGAAAAGCTGGAACTTTTCCCGGTGGAGCTGGAGAAAGGTACAGCAGGACTCCAGTGTTTGTGTCTTCGTGTCTCTCTAGTAACAAGGTGTGTCTTTTCCAGAGCATAGCTTGTTTCTGAGTTCTTACTCAGTAAACTTGTGCCTTTCCCCGATATTGACCGAGTTTCGAAGAGTTGATGTGGATTTTGAGCAGATTCTCTACTTAATGACTTTCTCATCTCACCAGCTCCCAAACAACTCAGTTCCCATATCTGGCTGGGTTAGTGGTTCATATGGGGGGTGTGACGCAAGCGGTGTGACACAAGAGGAGGAAGCCTCAACTGAGATGGGCACTCGTGGAGGGCCGGAGCTGATGCAGACGCCACGAAGGGGAGCTTACTGGCTTGCTCATCATGGCTTCCCAGCCTGCTTCCCTGTGGAATCCAGGACCACTGGCCCAGGTGTGGCATCACCCACACTGCACTGGGTCCTCCCGCATCAACTACTAATTAAGGAACTCCTGAGTTCCCGTCTGACTATTTTTAATGATGAACTGTGATGTGGAAGTTTAAGGCAAATAAACACTTTCCTCTCTAAGTTGCTTTAGTCATGGTATTCTGTCATAGGAGTAGTAACCAAGACTAAGACAAATTGGCACCAGGGTCATGGGGTGTTGTTGTGGCAGACCTGACCATTGATTTTTGGCAGGATTATGGAACAGGACTTTGAAACTTTGAGCTGGAGAAGCCATAGTAGCCCAGACTAAACTGGTGTGTGTGAGAGAGAGACAGACATACAGACAGACAGACAGAAATGTGTCCCACTCCTTTGTTAGTGTTCCTGGAAGGGCTGTTGAGGATTAAAGTCCACAGAGAGCTGATCTTGAGGAATAGTTTCGAAGTTTTCTTGTTTGGGGTAGAGGAGGTGGTCTCAGCAGTTAAATATAGTGGCAATGGAGGTGGAAGTTTCTCTGGAAACTTAAGATTTGGAGTAACGATGCTGAAATGTGAGAAATTCAAAAAGGAACGCTCCGTTCTCCATCTCTGAGAAGAGTGAAGAAGAAAAAGAGGAAGAGGGAGTGGAGGACTTGGCAGTGAGTTTTCCCCTTGGAAATGTCAACCTGCCTGCTCCAAAAGCCTTGATGCATGAGCAGCGACGGCTGTGCTTACCTTTGTGTGAGATGGGCGCCCAGGAACTGGATTGTGTCCCTGTGAACAGAAAACTAGCAGGTCTGAGAAGCCTTTAAAATGGGGGCGGAATAACCGGATGACAAAAAGAAAAGAAAGTCACTGTTGTTAGTAAATAGTGGCTTCAAAGGGACATTCTTAAGCACATTAGCAACAACAAATTCATGGATTTTCAAATGAAAATTTGACTGCAAACATTGAGGTAACAAGCACAGCTGTTGAGACTCACATTAGTGACCTGGGGGAACAATGTAAGACATGTCCCCAGACCATTTCATATGACAGCAGACACCCAAGACAAACAGGAACGAGCACTGACACAGAAACAGAATTAAAAATAGAACAACAAAGGAGATACACACTTAATAACAATAGGAGGAAATTTTCTTGAGCAGAGAAAACAAAGCAACAACAAAAACAAAACAACAAACAAACAAAAATGCCAAATGGACCCCCAATAAAGTGGGGAAATCCTAATGGTTAAATATATTAAATAAAAATCTTAGTTTTAAAAATTTAGTTTTAAAAATTAAATAAAAGCCAAAGTAAAAGAGCAAGTAAAAGTGGTGAAAATGACTAGGATAGTATCAGGAGGCCTTCCAGCCTTAGAAGCCATTATGCAGTCAGTGTACCTTCATGGTCCACTGTGAGTGAAAGGGGGTGTGTCCAGAGAACCCCATGTGCACCCTAGGGAATATTTGTTTCTCCAGAGGAAAGAAAAAATTTTTCTGGTATGTAAAGTTTTCATGAACATGAGTTGTCTGAGAAAATTGCTTTCTGCTAGCAAGAAAGAAAAGACACAATCAACTTGTTCAAAACAGTAAAGATGAAGAAAAGAGGGGGATTCTGTATAAATATTAAACATAAAACTGCATGGATAGGATGATAATAACCCACCCCCCAAGGGAGGAGAAGTCCTGCTAGGCCACAGAGGAGGACTCTGGAGATACCTGATAAAACAGAGTCAGATGAAAGGGGGGGGGAGGTCCTCCCCAATCAGTGGACTTGGAAAGGAGCAGGGAGGAGATGAGGGAGGGAGGGAGGGTGGGATTGGGAGGGAATAAGGGAGTGGAATACAGCTGGGATACAGAGTTAATAAAATGTAACTAATAAAAAAAATTAAATTAAATTAAAAAAATAATATGATAATAAAATAGTATGACGACTACCCAGCATTTCATTAACCATAGATTACTACCCCAGTTAGAGGACACATTCATCTAAAATTAGTTAACATGACATAGGAAGCAATGCTTTCGTTTCTGTTTTAAAATTGTAGCAGCCAGTGTGTCTTACACTGCTGATAAAAGCTAAACATGAGAACAACCCAAACATCTATGAGAGGCATGACAGCATATCTAGTTAGTGACAAACTGCGAAGTGCAGTTCATGCCGCAGTGCGTGTGGCCTCTGCAACTGTAACAGCATTGGAGGAGGACTAAACAGGAAACCACAGAAGTCGGTCTGCTATGCTTCCAACTTACCTGAATTTCAAACCGAAGGGAAGTTGAACAACATATTACTTAAGGATATGAGACACACTGGTGGGTAGTTTTTATTTTTTATTAAGTCAAAGGAATAATGAATAAAATAGATACATTATCACCAAGAGTTAAGGAAAGCTGGGAGGGGTATATAGGTAGCTTTCTGATGTGTCTGTATTTGTTAGTACAGGGCTTTATTTTATTTTTGTTCTTGTAGCCCAGGTTGCCCTTGAATTCTATAGTTGTTCACAAGTTGTCTCCAACTTGTGATCCTCCTGCCTCAGCATACCAAATCCTCATATCAAAAACCTCTTCCACTTTGCAGGGTGTTTTCTGGTTTGTTCTTGGGGTCTGAGAAGTGGTTTCACTGTACAGTCTGTCCAGGAGTTTCTCGTTCTCTGCTCATTCTCCGGAATAATGGAATTACATTTGTGCACTACCAGACCTGCTTGCTGTCTTCTTGAAACATGTTTCACAGATAAACAGTTGAATGAACTATATTGTGTGTAAATATTTCACTTTAAATTTTAAAGTGAAAAAATAAACTTTTAAAAGATAGCCAAAGGAAGTAAAATGATTTAAAATTTTGAAACTACATTTCTTTCCCAAGCAGATCTAACAGGCAGAATACAAATTAGGGGTGGATTAATATGAACTAATCTATTTTATAAAGACAAATATTGAGCTGATAGAAAATGAGATTTTTTTTTAAAGAAGAAAAAAATGTTACAGTTGAACAAAAATTAGAACCTCAGTACTATCATGAGAATCTGGAATCCAAAATTCTTAGATACACATTTGATAAAAATTGAAGTTATTATTACCAGCTGTTTTGGAAGGTATATTTTTTAATGTGCAATATACAGTAAAAGCCTTGCTCAAAATAAAGACTATATTAACATCTTTCTTTAAAATAAACATTTAAGAGAAAAAAGTCACTGTCGACGAAATCAGAAATGTTAAGATACATTTTTTCAAAGATTCAGATGTTTTTCTTCAAAGGTTTTCTAAAGAAATAGCAGAGAAAGCTAACAATCTGATGTGACGTACAGATCAAACATGTCTTTAGGTGTTTAAGAAGTCCTGGAAAGAAACTCCAGATCATTTTGACCCAGTGAATAATTCACCTGGCAGGTGTACAGCACTAGAAAGAAAAATTTAAAAAAAAAAATAACACTGTCATATAAATATTGCTATGAAAATCTATGTGCACGAAAGTTCTTTCTTCATAACTTGATTTTTAATATTTTAATGGCTTTTTTCTATGTGATGTTTAACTGACTTTTTTAATGTACAAAGGCTATATTTCCCAAATCTGACCCAGATAATTTCAGACGTGCCTACCAGCAGATTTCCCCCACCCCTTCTGACTGAAATATCAACTTTTTATTTTAATTAATGCCAAACATTTCAGATAGTGAAAAACCTTGCTGAAAATGTACTAGGTATATAGAGAGTGCTATGCTCAGTCTGGATTTCTACAAAGCAGCAAGTTGCAGGGAACATAGAAACAATATCACCACCCTAAATCCATCCCTGCTTCCTCCTTCTCCTCCTCCTCCTCTTCTTAAAAAAACAGAAACAGGGACAAAACCAGAAACATTTCTCTTATTACTAGGTGATTTTTCACATAGTATCTACACTTCTCAGAGAAGCAAGGAATTTTAAAACTATGAAATGTCACTGACATCTATCACCAAATACAAGCATAAAAATTAAGAACTAAAAAAAATACTCAAAAGAAACATCAGCTTAGCTGTAACCCCATGCTGTGAGGATTTGGTCGGTGGAAACAATGAGGGCCAGCAACCTGTCCCACAACAAAGGAAAACAGCCTCTGAGGTAGCGAACTGACCCTGCACAGCTGACCAGACGAGTAGACAGCCGTGGAAGACAACTTAATTTTCAAGCTTGTCAGACTTATGCAGTTGACTTAATGAAAGAGCATTGATATCAGTGAATGATGTCATCTGCAGTAATGTAGAAGTGGCTGTATTTATGAGGAAGGGATTTCATAGTGTCAGAGTTGGTTTTCTTTATGCTTGAACGTCTGTAGCGACAACTTAAGGTGTGCCACTGCTTCCTTCATACTGTTTTTTTTTTTTTAATCTCTAAGTGTTTATACATGAAGTAAAATCATAAAACCTAACGCAAAGGTACAAAAGGACATATTCTGCTCACTGCAATCTGGTGTGGCAGAAATAAGGAGCAAAGATGTGCTGCTGAGACCAGGGGAGCTGCTGGCTACCCACTCTTCAGTCTTAGCTGAAGACCACCTTTAAAAGTGAAGTCATTTTTAAAATTATTATTATTATTATTACTTATTACAATTTATTCAATTTGTATCCTGGCTGTGTCCCCCTCCCTCATCTCCTCCCAATCCCACCCTCCCTCCTTTTTCACCCCCATGCCCCTCCCCTAGTCCGCTGATAGAGAAGGTCCTCCTCCCCTTCCATCTGACCCTAGCCTATCAGGTCTCACCAGGAGTGGTTGCAAACTGAGGGAAAGACAAGCCTGACTTTGTGGCACATGCCTTCCATCCCAGCACACAGCGGCCAAGGCATCTGAAACTCAAATCCGACTTAGGCTGCAGAGAAAGATCATTTTCAAAACAGCAAAAGGCAGTTGACAAGACCTGGGAAAAAACATAAATACAACAAAACAAATGTCACTGAAAAGAGAAACCAGTAAAGTAAATAGTGCAAAGTCTTTCCATTGGCTTCACATCAGTCCAACCTTTGAGGATTCTGACTGAAGAGCACTAAAGGCGAATACAAACGAGCAATGTAGAGTTATACATGCAAAAGTGTAACATGAGAGGCATTGGGCACTGCATTTCTCTGACATAAGTTATTCATTGTCTTATTACAATTATCCAAACCGGGTAACAGGTGTGGCGAGTTGCTGTGACAG